GATCACCTCATTCTAAAGTTGTTTCCCCCAATAAATGTTATCTAATGGCCAGAATCCTGCAAACAGCAGCTAAAGAGGAGCTGCTCATACTCCTCATCGCAAATCAGCCATGTGACTTGATGCATAATGAGGAATACAAGCAGCATCTCCTTAATTATGAACAATTTGCAGCTGCACCTATGGTGGCATACGTAAGCAACAGGATTCTAACTAATATTTAGTATAGTATTGGTTATACCACTCTGTGCTGTATAAGGGAATACTAGAAATACTATATGCTTTCAAGGCGTTATTTAAAACTTTCTATAAGGTCAATCCACTAGGCCCATATACATTCACAAAGGCAGTATGCATTCCCGATTGGACACAAATCACAACCACCTATTTGTCATGTGCCCACAGTTATCGCACGCAATAAAGCAGTTAAATCTCTCTTTTTTTCAGCAGCCAATATCTTACCTACTAGCTTTTAAGAAAGGAGGGGCAAGGAAAAAAATCTAGTACTCCTCCCTCTCAAAAAAAATAACATTTTAAAATACTCAAGCTTCTAAAAAGAGGTTTCAGTGACTCTGTCTGTTAGACTGGAGCCACAAACACACGCTTCAATGGTTGTTGTGGGTTTTTCGGGCTCTTTGGCCATGTTCTGAAGGTTGTTCTTCCTAACATTTCGCCAGTCTCTGTGGCCGGCATCTTCAGAGGACAGCACTCTGTGCTCTGGTCATGACAGGATCTTTACACATATTAATTCCCATCTTCAGAGGACAGCAGTCTGTACTCTGGTCTTCAAGCTTAGTGGCAGGATCTTTACACATATTAATTCTCCAATCCTGTAAAGTTCAATGAAGCTTCTTCCCAGACATTTAGTACAATATGAAACATATCACTCCAAAAGAAATATTCCTTAGTTCAGTAGGATTTATACCAAAGTACACATAGGACTACAGACTTAGTTGCATACAATTTACATGCAGCTCAATATGCTCCACACAGAGTAATTAAAAGCTGCTTATACCTATGATTTGTACCACATGGGTTTTACTTGATGAACATACACTGGCCCATCTGGCCTAAGTGTCTTCATCTAATCCAGGGTGGGCAAACTGTGGATGTTGGATGTTCTGCAACTCCAGGATTCCTCACCATTGGCTGTGCTGACTAGGGCTACTGGGAGTTCAAATCAAGACCATCTGATAGACCATCATTTCACCCACTCCAATCTAACCAGCTTCTTTGATATTACAAGAGTGTCAGTGTACCATCAGTCAATAAGTAGTGGCCAGATAGCTCATGTGGTTAGAGCATGGTGCTAATTGCACCAAGGATGCAGGTTTGATCCTCACACAGGCCAAAGTCTCCTTTTAACTTACTGGATAGCTCAGTGAGATAGGTATCTGGCTGTAGATCCAGACATTGGAAGTCCAGTCCCCCACTGTGCCTCCTGGGAGACCAGCCAGCCTCCATAGCTTTGGACAAACTACTCAGTTACAGAACATCCCTGTGGCACAGTGGGTAAACTTCAGTATTGCAGTCAAGCCTCTGCTCACAACCTGAGTTTGATCCCAACAGGATCAGGTAGCCAGCTCAAGGTTGACTCAGCCTTCCATCCTTCCGAAATACTTAGCTCATCGAGGGACAAAGTGTTATTTGTATCATTATGTTGTAAATCGCCCAGAGAGAGTGCTCTAGCACTATGGGATGGTATATAAGTCAAAATAATAATAATAATAACCTAATGAGAAAAGGTTTTTAAGGGTTTTTTTAAGCCATACCAGCAGCTCTTTTTAGCTCATCTCCTAGATATGCATTCCTAAAAGACATTGTATGTTTATATCTGTATGCTGTGTATGGTATGGAAACAAGAAATAAAGTCAGACACAACAGCTAATAAACCCCTCAGCTACAGTACATTTCAACCAAAACCAGTATATGTCATTATTCAAGTGTCCCCCAAGTGCTGCTAATTTGTGGTCACATAATTAAGGCATAACAAGTCTTTTACCCAACTAATTCATTATGCCAGCTGGAAATACTACCATTTTCAGCTTACAGAAGAAAGTTCTTTTGAATCTGTATGAAGGAATATAAACTTGTTTATAAAGCTAATATTAGTTCATATTACCTGCTTACTCCAACAGTAATATATAAACATGGGCATAATCCAGCATGTACTGAATTCATTTAACTTTTAAAATGTAACAGAACCAATCAAATTTACATATGACTAAAACAGTTCAATAAATAGGACAATATAATAAGTTTTTCTGCCTATATGTAAAGTGCCCGAAATATAATAGTGACTACCTATGTAGATTTGATGATCCTACTAGAATAGATTTATCATATTTTCCACCAATGTTTGAAATATGCAGAACATTTTTTAAAAAGTTGCTAAAACATGTAAAAGGAAGCAGAGATAGAAAAGAAAACACAAAAGTAATACACAGGAAGACAAATGTTATTGATTGTGAGAAGAGAGGTAGAAATCCTCTGTCCATTTAAATTTAAAACAATGAATAGGAATAAAAGTTGAAGTCTTTGATTCAAATTTCTGCTGAGCCATAAATTCAGGCAAGCCACTAACTGTAATACAAGAGTAACTGTATTAATGCACCTTATAGAAATGCTGTAAGGCGAACTAAATACATCAAGTCAATGCGACTTTATATTATTGTGTATAAATCTTTACACACAAAAATTCAAGATCATTATAGAAAGGTCCTAACAGTGGGTTTGGATTGCTATAGCAGGAGCCTGCAGAAGCAACTCAATCATGTAACTGCATTCCTTTAAATCAGGGGTGGGCAACATGTTGCCTTCCAGATGGCCTGCAGCTTCCATTAACCATTATAAAGAGGGCTGACAAAGTTGCAGTTTAACAACATTCGGAATGCTTTGTGTTCTCCATCTCTACTTTTGAACAGTTCAAAATATCTCTTGCACACTTGGGAACCCAAAATCAAGTATTCTGTCTTCATCAATCAAACTGCACTGCCAGGGCAATCCTGGTTACTTGATAAAATTCTTCCTAGAATATTTTCAAGAGTAAACACTCTGCCACAGATGCCAAGAACATAATTTATGACCAATACAGGGAAGTCTGCTATTAAGAAAATGTAGTTCAAGTCTGCTAGTTCAGACTTTATAAAACTTTTGAGGTGTGGGAGAATGGTAAAAGTGACAGTTTTATTATCTGTGCAATATGACCACCGTGACCAAGGTAAATATTTTTAAATGTAGATTTTCCAGTTGCTAAGAGGGAAATAGCCCTGAAAATTGAATTTAGGTTTTCAGGGTCAAATTAGTTTGTAGCGTAATCCCACAGAGCAGACCATTTTGTGAGTTGTTCCACTTACACCAGTCCACAGACTGCAGCCCCATGGAGGGAGCAACATCTTACTCCGTTCTATATTCCTGGGAACAATTAGTGAAAGGGGCAATACGTATTTCTAGTCATCTCACTCAGGCCCATTGTTTCTTGAAACTTTTACTGTATATCCACTGAACGCATCAGGTCAAATATCCTTTCTTCTGTGTTGCTTTGGAGAACACCAAAGTCCTATGCTTTTAAAGAGACATTCTGAACCCCTCTGTCTGAATGCCATTATCTGTCCCTGGTTCACCATTAAAAGAAAAATTCAAGAGGCACACTGCTTGGTATTTGTGCCACTATTACAGTAGAGATGGCCAAGGAAAGGCACACCTATTGCCCTAATTGTGTGACCCATCCAACCTAGGACCATAAAGTAATAATCCTTTCCATAAAAACTCATATACTCAATTTTAATAGTTTAATAAGAATTCAATATGTTTAGTAAACAATGCTAAGTGAGAGGAAAGAGAAAATGGAAGATTGTACCAGAACATGATAAGACTATATAAGCAGTGACAGAAGTCACTTTGCTCTCAGCAATGTGAAATGTCTGGTGGAGCAGCTCTAGCAGAATACGAAGTTCACTGTGATCTCATGCGATCCCTCTCTAGTGCCTCTGCAGTGAGAGAGTGCAGGAAAGCTCTTTGGCTTCATGGCGGTGGGGGGAGGTCAGCTTTTACTTGCCTTCACCTTTAACACAGAGTTTCCTTTTCTTCAGTTCAAAGAGTGACCATTTTTAAAATCCTATGAATGCCAAATGGAATAAGAAGGGGTATTGCTCTACCTTTGGGGTGAACTACAGGGCTTTCTTCCATCAAGTAAGGTAAAGGTAAAGGTTCCCCTTGACATTTAGTCCAGTCGCGTCCGACTCTAGGTGTCGGTGCTCATCCCTGTTTTCAAGCCGTAGAGCCAGCATTTGTCCGAAGACAATCTTCCATGGTCACGTGGCCAGTGCAACTAGATATGGAATGCTGTTACCTTCCCACTGTGATGGTACCTATTTATCTACTTGCATTTTTACATGCTTTCAAACAGCTAGGTGGGCGAGGAGCTGGGACAAGCGACGGGAGCTCACTCTGTCATGTGGATTCGATCTTACGACAGCTGGTCTTCTGACCTTGCAGCACAGAGGCTTCTGCAGTTTAACCTGCAGCGCCACCACGTCCCTTCCATGAAGTAGTTGCCCCCAAATCAAATAAATATCCCTGATTTAATCTGGTTTTTCACATTTCTTAGAAAACAGTGTACATGCCTAATGTGGAAAAAAATGTCATTAATACTACTGTATTAATTCTTTGTAAATTAAGAAAGTAATTGTTTAACCCCCACCAGTTAAAACTGAAGAGCTGAAAGGGGCCTTATGGATCATCGAGTGGGAGTTGAACTCCCAACCTCTGGCTCTGCAGCCAGACCTAAGCCACTGAACTATTAAGCCTTCCCACTTCTAATTATATTATGCTAATAACTAAGATGGTTGTATGTCTGGCAACAACTGTTGCCCAGTGAAGGCAGCAGAGTGTGAATAACCCAGAGATTTACGGAGGTAAATATGTTGGTAAATGTCACCTTTTTCAACAATACTTCAACAAAATAACTTTTGGTGAGAGTTGTGAATAATGACAGCTGAAACTTACATGAAATTCACACAGCCTGTTCCTGCAGGTGGGGCAATCCAAACAAAACTGAGATTTGTTGTTGGTAGATGGCTCACATGAGATGCAACCACACTGCACATGAACTGATTCCCAAACTGGTGATCAGACATTATTCCTACAAGAAAAAACATAAAATAAAATTGAAACATATATGTATGAAAAGCATAAATGTTTTCTGTTTATTTAGAACCATCAAGTAACACATATAATAAATACAACAGCAATGATAAAAGCAATGTACTCCTTGTTTAATTCCTGTTCTTCTTGCTTTGTTTTGGACCTGAGCCTTAATAATAAAGTCAAATGTTTCTGACTTGAATTTCATCACCCTGCTTTGCTATATGTAATAATTCATAAGTATTTTTAGCATGGTTTGATCCAGCATGGTTCTTCATGTCTTCATTTCGGCCCATCCACACTCTGAAATCATTACTTTGCACTACAGTCAATTAAAAAAAATCTGCAGCCCCTTTGTGAGTTGCAGCTGAATATGAACTGCCTTTATTGACAAGTGACAAAATCTCATTGGATGTTTAGGTGCTTGCAGAAATTGCTATAGTTAATTGCAGCTAATTGACAGGGTTCCAGGTGTGGCACTGAGTATGCAGTTAGGCACATGAGACAAACGTGTGACCAGAACCTTGTCAATGAGCCATTGGCACCTTCCACAACCATATTTGCCTTTGCAAAAATATCCAATAGGATTCTGATTGTCTTGATTCTTCCATATAAGCACAACAAGCTGCTGCCCCAACATACATAAATGGTAATCTATGGTTAAAAAAACAAAACCAAAAGCCACCTGAATTGATTACAGTGGACCCTCTACTTAAGGAATTAATCCGTATTGGAATGGTGGCTGCAAGTTGAAAAGTCTGTAAGTCGAATCTCCATTGACCTACAATGCACTGAAAACCGATTAATCCCATAACCAGTGGTTTTTATTCTATTTTTATTCCATTTTGGTTTTTTTCTGGTCTGTAAGTCGATTCTCTGGCTGCAAGTCGAATCTAAATTTTGCAGCCAGAGAAGTCTGTAACTCGAAAATCTGTAAGTCGAGCCATCTGTAAGTCGAGGGTCCACTGTACTATGACTGAATTCATGTTAACTATGTGAGTTGTACAACAGGCTGTCATCTGTCTCAGTTAAAACTGTTTAGCTTCAAGAACTCTTGGATACAGACAACATGTATGATCCCACAAGACTTTGTTCCCCAGACCAACATTACGCTTTGAATGAATGAGAAATTTTTTTGTCTTGGAGCAATGGGAGACCAAAAAGAAAAGGGGGGAGGGGGAGGAGAGAGAAAGAAGATAAAAATATCAATATTTGAAATACAGTATGTTTTCAACGTAAGATAAATTTTACAATTCCTAAGGAGAAGGGCAAGCAGTAACAAACCACTTTGGAATGGTGAAAAAAATGTTAAAATATTTAAACATTTTCTCTTTTACACACAAGCAACATATCACTGAATGTATATTTAACTTCTATACTGTACTACCTTTACTACTGGAGAATTTATGTATAAAACAGGAGCTACCAAATACTGATAAGACAGAAAGTTCATGTGATAACCTCTGCACTCTGCATGAACTTCCAGGTCAGGCTTGCTTTTTCTTTTCTTTTCTTTTGCGGGGGGGGGGGAGAACTCAGCACTCTTCATACAGCAAGTCTACTTGCCATACCATTTCTACTCCTCATTCAGTCATTTGAAAGATTAATGCATCCAACCATTCTATGAACAATCTCCAAGGCAAAATATATGCCAGATTAAAATAACACAGTCCAACAGGCCACCTGCAACTTTTTCAACAATCCCAGGTAGAACGGCGGGGTGGTAAACAATGTAAAGTCTGTATGTCACGGAAGCCAGAGCCGTCAGGATCCTCCAGATTCAACAAATGCTTTAGCTCCAGCCATACACACCAATGGTAAGGTCTACTCTCCACAAGGATGCCATGGTTCAAGTCATACAATGCATTTAGGACTATTATGTGCTCTCAAGAAGTGTGGAAACAGCTTCCATTCCAGCTCAGTATGGAGCTCATGCATGCAAAATATTTGTTTAAAATATCGAAGGGGGAAATAATATTTTCAATTTGCCATATATCTCCAACATTCACACTGGTATGACTATCCAACATACTGTCCAAAACTAAGTAACTATTGGCTTTGAGTTTGAAAAATAACACACATATGTGTTAAGCCAGATTGCGTTACAGGGAAAAGAGGAAGGCATAAGCAGAAAAATGATTATACTCCAGTTCTTTAAACCCTTGTAAGCGATGGATATCTTGGAGACAGAACACAAGTCTTTAAAAGACATATATGCTCATCTGTCACTTAAAACTGCCCAGAACATATGTGTAATTTGAATTAGTACCAGTTAGGTTTCAAGGAAAGGTAACTGTGCACATCTCTGTCAAATTCAAGGCTGAAAGAACTGCCAGAATTTCCTCATACATCTGGGTCACCAGGGAGTACAGCCAAGGTCTGCTGCAACTAAGCATCACTAAATCATACCCTACTTAAATGTGAGGAAGAGCATCTCTGAACTCTCTTTCCCTTGAGTTTTACTGTATGTGCTCATTGTGTTGAAATAATTTATATGCCACACAACCCAGTTATGGCTTTCTCTGCTGTTTATCACTTTGTGGTGGAACTATTAGGGCTACTGGCTGTATATCATGCCTGCCCAAGTCCACATTTTTTTTAAAAAATTGGCCATATAACAATACATAACATACCCTATTCTCTGGCCTTCCTCCCAATAAAACATCTTTATAATGTAAACCAGTCAAGGCAACCATACTATTTGCAGGAACCTGGTCTTATGTCTTGGGCTCAAACAATGGGGGGAAAGCCACAAACACAATTCACAGAAACATGTTAACCATACCTTGCAGCAATAATACTTGCTTATTGGTTACATAATATTTTATATTGTTTTGAAATAGCTTCATAAATATTATTTTACTAATCCTTTCCACTATCCTATGCAAACTATGTCACTATTATCATTACTATGTTGCAGATGGGAGTTAAAAATAAGACAAAGAGAGTTAAAGAGAGAAGCGAGATTTGAATTTAAAAAGTCATTATACACAAATTAGCTGCTTTGTCACAATGCTAAACTCTCTGTCCACATCTGTCTGGGCCATGCCTAACCATCCTGGTCTAATCAATATCCCCTCCTCCTCCTCCTCCTCCTCCCTTGTCTCTCCTGCCATTTCATCATTTTCAAGGTTTACTAAACTATATTATAGTTGCTATTGTCGTTATGCCTTTTTTATTCCAGTTTGGACTACAAATACTTCAAGGCAGCAGACATCAATACAAATAATTCAAAACAGCAAAACATTGGAATCATTATAATAAATGAAGCATTTTAAAACATTATTTAATTATGGCTTGTACTAATAATTTTCACTTATATCTTGCAGTTAGAATGTAAACGACACTTTTCCAGCTCAAAAGCAATAATAAATTTTATCTATTTATTTTAATTGATTCACTTCCTGTCTTCCTTTCAAGGTGACTCAATGACATGTATCAAAACAAATGCAGCTTTTTTTACAAGCCCAATTAAAATATTTAAAAAACTATTTAAAAGCAAGTGAATGCACTATCATATTAAAAACAAGCACATAATTAAATCATTTAATAAGCGCAGCAACAAAAGGGGAGAAAAGGACAATACCCAGCATTAACCTCCTCCTCTACAACAGGCCCCAAAGCCAAAGATCAGCCTAAATAAAAAGGTATTTCCATGCCTCCACTAGTCTCCTGTGGGAGAGAGTTTGTAGCCTGAAAGCAACCACTATGGGTGTGCCTTTTGGCACAGTGGTTAAACCGCTGTACTACAGCCAAAACTGTGATCACGACCTGGGGTTCAATCCCAGGTAGCTGGCTCAAGGTTGACTCAGCCTTCTATCCTTTCGAGGTCGGTAAAATGAGTACCCAGCTTGCTGGGGAGACAATGTGTAGCCTGCATAATTAACTTTTAAACCGCCCAGAGAGTGCTTGAAGCACTATGAGGCAGTATATAAGCAGTACACTTTTGCTTTTGTGGGGAAGCAAGCCCAAGAATTCTAGGATTGCTGCCCATAGACACAAATCTACAGACTAGATAGAAAGTCTGAATGACATTTACCCCATTCTAGGGTTACTGGGGAGACAATGTGTAGCCTGCATAATTAACTTTTAAACCGCCCAGAGAGTGCTTGAAGCACTATGAGGCAGTATATAAGCAGTACACTTTTGCTTTTGTGGGGAAGCAAGCCCAAGAATTCTAGGATTGCTGCCCATAGACACAAATCTACAGACTAGATAGAAAGTCTGAATGACATTTACCCCATTCTAGGGTTAATTCCAGTGAAATCTACAGACTAGATAGAAAGTCTGAATAACTTTTAAGGAGCCCTACAACCTTTACAGACTTCGGGAGGGGGGAGGTGGAATCAGAAGCCTGTGCTCATCACAGCTGACATTTACCCCATTCTAGGGTTTATTCCAGTGTGAAAACAATTTCCAATCATATAAAAATTCATCTGGATATCAAGATATAAGTATTTTTATTCTTGCAAAGATTCCAGACAACATCAGTCTCTTTCCACAAACTTTATTTATCTACATTGTTTCTATGTTCCATATGCAAAAAAACAAAAAAAAACAAAACCCCTTTGAAGTTGTGAAAGACATCCAAAAGTCTTACAGCTTATGGAAAAATTGTAGACACCAATGTTTTTTTAAATGTGAAAAACAAGTTGCAGGCAAATACTTAAGTCAAACTTCCATTCAAAATACTGTACAAGAATATAAATGATATATATTTAAAATGTTTTAATTAATTCTAATATTACAGGAGCTTATAGCCTAAAAGGGCACAATCAAAAAGCAGAGAATATATATCTGAAAAAAACAAAGATCTTAAAATAAGAATATATGAAAGAAAATAGCCATTAAGTACATTAGACATAAGACATAAGACATAAGAAATTTATTTGTCATTGCACTCACAAGTGGGTGCAGCGAAATGAGGTGCTCTTCCCCAAGGTAAAACTGGACAACACCACTACAAAAAAAAGTTAAAATATACACAACACTCACCAT